CACGCTCCGCGCTTTCCCCCAGAGTGCCCGGCTCTGGCCACGGTAACTAGACGGTGGCAGAGAAGCCTGGCCCGAGTGTAACCAGCTGGGAAGGAGAAGGCTCTCCGACACTCTTTCCCCTTCTCGTTTTTTTGCACCCTTAACGCGCTGAGTGTTAGTTTTCCCACCGGGACGTTTAGGGACTCCGACAGCAGCTGAGAACTTTGGAAACTTGACGTGATTGTGTTAAGTGGTATCCACCGAACCGGGGGAGGAGGGTGGCTGAGGATGGTGCCTAAAAGGACAGCGGAAGGCACGCTAGTCCCGCCCGGAAGGGCTGGCGCGGGTTTGGGGTTGGATCGGGAGCCCAGCCGGGGAAACCAATCCAGGAACCTTTCTCACACGCCTCCGGCCAGTGCCCCAAGGGATGAACTTCTAGTCAACGGGCAGAGAAAGGGCGCGGGTTAGGGGCCGGGGCTGGGCGCTGAGCTGGTCTGAACCGGTTGCCAGGCAACAGAATGGAAATTTAAGGGCGGCTAAATCGGGCTGCGCCATAAATGTTCTGTGGCAAACCCTGACGGAGTTACAGAGCCTCCCCTCACCCCCACCCCAGGTTTTTCATCTGTAAATGAGAACGGTGTAAAGGCTCCCCCAACTCCCCCAGTCAATGCCTTCAATTTGTGCTCCTCTTCATTCATAAGCTGACTCAGCTTAGAGTACACAAAGGGATGGTGGGGACGCGTTCCCGGCGGGGAGAACTGGGGGTGCAGTAGCCACGCCCGGGGTGGGTGTGGCAGCCGGCGAGGTGGGTGTGGCAGCCTGCGAGGTGGGTGCAGCGGCCCGTGAGGTGCATCTCCGCGGACTTCTTTCCCGTGGGACGCATGGCTCTGAGTGGGTTAGCAGACACCTACTTGCCAAAGTAGCAGGCCCATCGCCAAGCCACGTCAAAGACCTCGGTCCGTCATTTAAGGACATTATTTACTTGAATGACTACCATGCAAAATACTTTGGCGATTTGTTTACAAGTATATCTATGGGATGATTCTTAACTCCGCTGAGTTTGGGGGGAAGAAGGGAAGAATGAGGGTGAAGGAGGGGGTGGGGGAGGAAGGAGAGGGAAGAAGAATGATTGGCATCCAAGTGGTGTAGAAATCCTCCTGGGAAATTCATGAAACAGAATCTCTCAGGGAGTGGAGGCTCAAGGCCTGCCAATCTTGCTACTTGCAGTGCCAGGGGTTCTGATTGGACAAGAATTTTCACAATTTATTGGAACCGAATCCAAGGTTGAGCTACTTCCAGGAAGCATTCTAAGGAAATTCTCCTGCCAGTCAATCAAGTTTCGGGAGGGGGTGCAGAGGACAAGCGCTATTCCTTATTCTAACAACTCTGTTTCTTCTGCCTTAGTAAATTCCACCACTTGCCCTCTCCCTCACCGTTTCTCCCCCCCCCCCCCCCCCCGCCAAGTTTCCCGGACTGCCTTGGGGAAATGTTTTATTTCCTCTGTGGATCGTCCCAATCTGGACCAAGTGGAAGCAGGGAATCACATTGTAGTCTCCAGGAAAACAGTTCCTGGGCTTGGACCATGATTGTCAATTTGTCAATTTTGGTTGCTCATTAGCATCACCCGAGGACACTTACAGAACTAAGGCATGCTGGGCTTCTCCTCCAAGCAATGAAGTCAGAGTCTTTGAGGGTGGTCTCTGGTGTCTCTCTCTCTCTTTTTTTTTTAAGTGCCTTAGACTTTTCTAATATGCTATGGTAGTCAACAAGCACTAGCCTAGGAGATTTCTGATGTCTGAAGGAAATCAATAAATCATCCCAGTAAGTGATTAAGAGCAGTGCTTCCTTATGTTAGTAGCTCCCAAATGTTGCTACACCTTTAAATCAGCTGCGTTTTTTTCAAAAATCCAGACACCCAGTGGGACTCATGTCAATTAAATATGAATGCGTGTGGTGGAAGCCACCAGGTATTAGCATTTTTAAAGATCCCCGGGTGATTCCAATGTTTGGGAACCACTGCCTCTTAGATGGTATTTGAAATTGGGAGAGCTGGCCTGAGGCAAGTTTGTAAAGTATGGTGACATTTACTGTGTTTAATGACCTCTGAAATTCTCCTCCTCCCTTGCTTTTCTGACCTTTCCTGGTCGACAGGTACACATTGCTTCTGAGTCACACTGCTTGACTTTGGTTGCCAACTAATCCTGCTAAAGTGATGATTTAACATAGTATCTCCCTAGGGATGCTTTCATTTTTCATAAAGGAGTGTTTCATAAAGATGCAAAAAAATACCACTGAAAACTTTAAAATTCAAGAGAATGCAACAATACTAGTGTTAATTTCACCCTCCAACCCCCACCCCAGCTGATATAGAACTGAAAAAGATTCCTGGGTAGGGAACTTTGCCCCAAGCCCCTCCTATCAAACCGCTGGGCTTTCTGACTGCAAGTTATAACTACTAATCATAGGTCCAGCTCTGGACTACCCCTGGGTACTTAGAGGAGAAAACCCTTTCCAAGTAAGTGGAATTCAAGTCACAAAGCCATGCCCCTGCCAGTCAAGCAATTCTATTTCATCTTAATCCATTTAGCAATAAGAAAGGGGATTTCATAATGAGAGGCTAAAATGGCCCTGAGCAGGACAGTTCTGTTGAAGAAAGTAATTGCTTAGCAATGTGGATTCTCTAAATAAGGATGCTGGGATAATTCCACAGATTTCCTAATCTGTGTCAATGGCATGTTAGCTGCATTACATGATTAGTCTATTAAAGAATCTACAGAAAGATCCATGTCACAGCTCTGTGTTTTAAAGTACTCTTATACCCACCGAGTTAGGTAAGTTAGAAGCTGAAAGTACAAGGGAAAGTGTTATATAGTTGTAAACATCATTTCCCTTGGGGTTGAGGAATAATTTACTCATGAGACACACTTGAAAACCCCGATCCTTGTTAGCTAGAGTGGCTATCAGGAAGTATGAATCAACAGGATAAGTTCCTCTCGTCATTGGACCAGCTCCTGTTGTTTATGCTGACTGTTTTAAACCCACCACGGCTGAGCAGGCTGGGGGGGTGTAACCTCCTCAGTGGTCACTGGCTGGTGTGCAGAGTGCCCGCGAAGCTGGTGTGCTCGTGAACCTGCATTCAATCAGGGCCACAGATGGCATTTTCTACTTGTTTTCTAATGCTAAAAATGTCTTGGCAGCCTAATAAACAAGGCTGCCAATTTGGTGACCTTGGAGAAGTATCCTGAAATATCCTTCAGGTCTTAGCTTAAAATTCACCTTCTGAGAGAAGCCTTTCACACACACACTTCTTTACCATCACAGCACCCTGTTTATTTCCTTGGTTGCACTTATCACAAGGAGTATATTTTTGTCTTTTTAAATTTGCTTACTCATTTATTTGTCACCCCTGGAGGATATCAGCATCAAAAGGCAACCAGGCTTATCTATTATTGTAACCTAAGTTCCTAACATAATGCCGAGCACATAAGAGGTGCTTTATGAAAACTGAATTGATGAAAACATGGGCATATTTCCCATTTAAAATTTATATTTTACTAATCTGGGTAATCATTTAGAATGCTATACCTGCAAGTAAGTGAAGACATTTAGGATATTGAGGTTTTATGGTATTTGATGTATATCTAATGCTTTATTAATAGACCTTTTTTTGTATTAGTTATCCATAATTACTAATTTGTAATATGCATTACATTTGAGACCAGTGCAAAGGTTTCTTTAAATCTGCATTTCAGATTTCATTTATTTATTTTGAATTAATGAGATGTTGATCTTCAGATGCTAGGATAAATTGAAATAAAAACTCAAATTATGTTCAGAAAAGGGAATCAGTATGTATTAGTACAAGTAATAAAAAACTTATTCTAAAAATACTGGCAATCTTCTGAAAGTATTACTCTTGGGAAACATAAATTAGAAGAAAAATGGGAATACTCCCTACTTCTATGTGTAACCAGATATACTGTACTGTCTTTTTCTCATAAACATAGTATCAGTGGAATTATTTTTCATTTAAGCTGTCTGTACTTATGAAGGAAGATTTTTGTTAGCAGCAAATGAACCCATGCCTGCAAACTACTCACAGCAAAAAATAGTTTGGAGAGTGTGGTTCAAAAAAGCAGTAGATTTTCTCCTAAAGAGATTTAAAATAGTAAATGGTGAAATTCAGTGGTATTTCAACAAAAAAGTTGTACAAAGTGTTCTTAAACTCAGATCAAAGGGCAAGCAGATATCATTGTTTAGACCTCAGATGGTGTTTCCTCTGGTTGTCCTTCTAAGAATGGGTATAAATCCTTTTTAAATATGCTGAATCATGCTCAGTTCCTCTACTTAAACGCTTACCTCCAATTTGCACAGACAAAAGATTCTCAGTGGTATAACACAGTGTGTAAAGGGAAGAAAACCCCTAAGGCTCAGCACTTGACTCAGCATGTAATAACTCTGTCTCATCACTGTGTGTTCAGAGTTTAGCTACTTTATTTATTTATTTATTTTGGATATTTTTATTGATTCCAGAGAGGAAGGGAGAGGGAGAGAGGTGGAAACATCAATGATGAGAGAGAATCATTGATTGGCTGTCTCCTGCACGCCCCACACTGGGGATCGAGCCCACAACCAGAGTCTAGCTACTTTAAATGTTGGGTTTCACATTAATATTTTACTTAAATTTGACAGGGGGGAGTGGGTAGGTGGGTGAACATTAAATATCAAAGGTAGTATAGCAAACTCTTAAAGATAATG